AATAAACCCCTGTTTTAAGAGAATTAAATACCGACACCACGGAACCATAATTACAAGTGCTGGAAAATTGTGGTATCTAGTACACAAATTAAATTACTTTTGGCAAGTAATTTAGTGATCACACGAGTAACTTACTTTTTAAGTTTGTCGTATGACTTCCACCCTTTTTCTAACTCCTTTTTTTTTCAGGGGGGGGGGGGGGGGGGGGCGTGTGGGTTTCAAGAAACAGTTGTGATGTGAGCAAATAAAACCTTTTTGGTAATTATGTCTTTGGTATTTATATATATTTTCTTGGTTTTTGCAGATTGTTGTTTAACTGAACTGTAGAATACATTTTAATCTAATAATAGTTTAATGTAACGAGTCACTTTTTTAAAAAAAATTTCTTCAGACATACTGCTGGCTCTTTGTTGAGAGCTGAGGCGGGTATGGGTTCTCACAAGTCGTAGGGAAGGCAAGAAAAACAAAACCATTTTGGATATGAACTATAGAGATATGTGGTACAATGGAAGTGCCCATTCGGGATTTTATGCAGATTATATTTATAGTGTTCACTCAAACATTTTTCAGAGTTGACTATTTTGTACATCACTCGGGTACTATCTTAGCTGGTGCTCGCTAACTTAACTGGCGTACCTTTTTGAGCATTTGGTACAAGTCTGGTTTTACTCGTTACCAGTGGCACTTCCTCGATTGATATTGATGCCATCTAGTGAAAATGAGTAGAAGCTTGGTGAGGCATTTGGTTTTCCGTTGATGCATCTGCCGTAATATTACGTAACACTACGCTTTATAAACATTTCACACTCTGATAAATGATGTCCAAAATGTTTGTGATTTTAGCTTGTGCGATGTTCACTTGTAAAAAATGGTAGGTCTTGTCTAATGTCCAATATTTCCATTATAAAACCTTGTTCCAACAAAGGCAACAACTGAGCAGAATAAATCTATATATATATATATTTATATTCCGTCTTAAAGTTGTCACCATCACAGGTACAATATGAGGGACGGTCATTGTGTTGGAAAACGTTGCAAGGGGAATTCAGAAACCTCTACAGAAAGAAACGGTTATCTAACACCTGGAAATGTCTTTTCTTAAAACAAAAAAGAAGAAAGAAGCACAAACAAATAACGTGAAACAGTCTTTCCGAGACACAGCGGAACACCTGATGCACTTCGTACACACTCATTCTTTCCTGACAACAGTACGTTCTGCGAATCAACTCGTTTTGGAAGCTCCTCCCGCTTGGACCTTAAGTGTCAGTTTCCAATTAAAATTTACGAACTGAAAGAACAATGCAAAAGGGTTGGAAATGCTACCACCAAATAACAATATTTGAACAAATTTCTCCTAAAAGCGTAAGCTCAAAAATTTGTGGTGGCTCATTCTTCTATTGAGTTTCTCAGAATAAGAGGCACTACCGAGAAACATAATCCGATTAAAAAATAACGTACAATTCTTCGCAATTCGACAAAACCCGGAAGATTTCTGATCGTTTCAAACTGCACACACCATCCCTTTCTCAGTAATATGGCCGACAAGCTGAAAAAATGCACGTCCTTATAATAATGAACGTGAATAACATTCATGTTTTTACATGTTTAGCAAAAGGATGTTGTCTAACTAGGAGTGATTTTAATCTATTAATATATATTTTTATTTTGCATTTTGTTCTTTTACTTTTCAATTGGATGCATGTGTTTGATTCCAGTGTGTTTGTAAACCAAACGGGACACGTGTATGGTTGTTCGCGAGTACACGCAAAACTAAGCATTATAATTATATTATACGGTACAGGTAACCAGTTAGCATATATCAAACCCCAATACATATATGCCTAAGATATCTCACTGTCTCAGAATTAGGCTGTGACTTGAGCTACCTGGCGGTGTCGACAAAAGGCCAATATATTTCAACCATGGTCTCCGAATCGTCGGCTTTTAATGCATATTTTTTTCGGGGAAACATCTAAGGGATGCGCGCGAGTGCTAACAACCTTTGAATTCTTCTCAAACTGCGGGCTGCTAAAAATAAAAACCAAAGCAAAAGGTAGTCTGCGCTTCAGTTCAAAAATGAAAGTATACCGGGAGAGGGGGGTTGCATTTTTATAGCAATGATGCAAAGCACTGAAGGCGGCGCCATCTTTTTCACATCCTGACAGCATCTTCACACTATACTAGAGTGACGAACATCGGCTCTCTTGTTCATCGAGAAACTAACGCGAGTAATTTTCAGTATTATCGCGTATTGACACATACATGCTTTTGTGTGATCAGTTGTGAGGAAGTGAAAAACCAGTAAAAGATATCTCTATACTTCGTTTCAGCGTCGATCCGAGCGCGGCCGATGTTATGAGCCGAAGGGCCAATTAAAAAGCGAAAGACGCACTACGTCATGGCGTGCTTTCTGCAGTTGATAGGACCAGCCGGTATTCGCCGTCTCTCTGTGCGCGCTCCTCCGCCGGCTAGTCCTATCAAGCACAGAGAGCACGCCATGACGCGGCGGTTTTTGCGCTCTTTGATTGGCTCTTCGGCTCATAACATCAGCCGCGCTTGGACCGAAGCTGAAACGAAGTATAACACGGCCTTTTCTTTTTTTTTTTTTTTTTTTTCATTGTACGCGAACAATGTTTGTTCTTGGTTGCTCCGGTGAGCTAGAAATGCTAGTCTGTACGGATATATTTTTCTGCCAGGTGGGGCTTCGATTGTTTTTCTGCGATCAGATGGAAGGTATGGGGTCCTTAATTGTATCGGAATGTTCTGACAAACATTACAGCATCAAAGCAAAAAAAAGGAAAAGAAAAGATTTTCCAATTGCTTTTAAGTTTTCTTACAGTGTCAAAACCACTGGAGCGAGCGCGTGGCTTCAAGCATAATTTTCACCACAGCTCGTGTGTAAATTAAACTCTAAGTCAAGACAGGCTCGAGAGAGGAGCTTTGGGAGCGTTGCACCTTAAGGAGTTTTACTCAACACATACGTCGCTTCCCTTAAAGGTTCATTACAGTTATATCACTCGACGTAGTACGTTTACACACAACGATTTACGACGCATGAACACATGCGCGACATGTTGTGATCACAGCTCACGTCCAAGATCATGCTAAACATTCAATGAAAGAAAAAAAAAATCGTACGAGCAACGGATTAGCATGTCCATACATAACAAAACAGAGAGGAGTACCATTGTGCCCGAAGACGAAACATTACACGCTTTAATAATGAAAACACAAATAAAAGACAATAATAACAGCGCGACTAAACTAAGCGAAAATCTCAGCTTTCTTTTTTTTTTTTTTTTTTTTCTCCCACTCACTTTACAAAAAGTTCTCGCCCCATCTTCCCATGTGGAACGCCGAAACAGCGAAAACTACCAAGAGGCGCTCGGCTTCGTTCGCACAAAAAGCCAAACAACTAACTACTAAAAAGAAACGAAGAAAGAAACGAAACAGACCGAGCAGTCCAGAGGAAACACACACGACGACGACGGAGTCCACGGGAGGTTAGTGAACCCCCCCTCTCTCGCGACGTAGCAGACGACCCGAACGGCATTACTGTGCCACGCTCGCCGAAAAGCCCACAAGAAGTGTCATTCTCTCATACCCCCGACGCAAACTTTCTTTCTCTGTCCACTCCTTAGCAGACACAACTCTCACGTACACTCACATACATGAGACACAGGGGTTTGGACACCTCTTTCTAGTAAGTATGACAAAAACGCGTCCGAACTCGTGGTCCGAAAAAAAGAAAAAGAAAAATGCCGAGGGCAGAAGAAGCGAGCGTGAATCGTGCGTGCGAGTCCGAAATGCGGCCGACGGCCGCCGGCGCGCTGCGGCCCGCGGGGTCAATGACTCCCGCGAATACCGCACCGGTTCAAGATGCTGCTGCCCGCCGCTGCCCGAAATGGAAATGAAATAAAAAAATAAATGGTGTCCGCGCACAAATTGACCGACAAGTTGTGTCCACCGTCCCCCCTTTGTGCCTCTTTCCTTTTAAGTCAGGAGGTAATTATGTACAGCTGTCATGCTGGTAATAGAGGACGGTGGTTACCGAATGGTGGAGGGACAAGCGGCCACTGTAACCTCCTCCATGATACAGCTCGGCACCCTCCGCGCCGTGACACTTTTCTCTTTTCCAGAGATTGGAGATGGAAAGCAAGCTGTGTCTAGCATCACCGTCAATAAACAAAACTTCCTTGTCACACCATACATTAGTATTAGTTAAATGTTTAGAAGTCGCTTCGGCCGAGTTGCTCTCTTCGCAGCAGGCGAAACATCTTGTGGCCAGAAATAGCAGCGGCGCTGAAGGTTTCCAACTTTCAGAAATTTGCAGACAGCCCCTCCATGTACGAACTTGTAACTTTTTAAAATATAATATCAAAATAATTATTACTTGACAGGCGGGCTCGCACGACGCCAAGAAGTTGGTTCTGCCGTCGCAAGTGTCAATGACATTTGGTCCTATTTTCTTTTTCTTTATCTCCCACACAAATGACATGAGCATGTCATGACAGTCTAGATACCGACGAATTTGCACGTATTTCCCTCAGCATGTTTGACCATTCACGCGAAGAAGAAAATAATAAAAAAAATGTAATTAGTTTAGTGACAGACCGCTGACCGATGAACGCGAAGACTTCGTCATTGACTCACCAGACAAACGCGATTACTGACTAATGGGAGGTTAACGAGCTTCGAGATAGTTACTGGAGGTAGATTACTAACGACCGAAAGCAACCAGCGCAAAAGAAACGTCCAAAATCGAGCCAAAACCGCCGAAAAAAGCGTCGCCGCGACGCGCTTCGTAAGGCTCGCACTGAACCCCAATGGCCGTCCGGCCAGCGCACCCGAGCGAAGTCAACGGCCGCGCCGACGTCCCCGATCGTGAACCCGTCCGAAAAGGGCCGAAACTCCTTCGAACCGCCAAAACCTAACTTAGAACATGGTTCTCGAGCCCAGTGGAGGGATGTCCCCGCGTCAAAACCCCCAAAAGTACTCACGTTGAAGCGGCACCGGTGTCCAAAACTCACTCCAAGGTCATTGACACAGAGTCACTGCACTCGACGGGATGGTTCGGTCTCCCTCGGAGGAGCACCAGCGCGCTGTCGGGACGGCGTTATTCCGCAGCGGTTTGGGTCGCTGTATCCCGCTTCGGCCGGGCTTGACAGCACGTCGGTGTCGTGGGCACGTATCCGAGAGTTTGGAATCCGGGCAGCGGCGTCAAGCCGCGCGAAAAACACCCGCACAAAAAGGCACTCGCCGGCGTCGACTTCGTCCGCTGCGCTTGGTCCCGATCGCGCTGTGAAGCCGACATAGAACACATGGAGTTGGACTTCGGATGGCCGGCTGCAGAGGGCGCCGTAGACGCGCGCGCGCGCTTCGTGACGTCATGTCCGCCGCGCGCGTCACTTCCGCGTCGTCTGCTTGCGCCCGGATTTTTCCTGTTTGGTGGGACGGTTGCGGCTTTCAGGCCTAGGCCCCGTTCGATGTGGGTGGTTCGAGGCAACAGCGTTGATCGCGAGAGAGCGGCCGTGTTCGTAATCCTTGATCCGTACAAAATGCGAGGAGATGCGCGCGGAAGATTCAGGAAAGAGTCGCAAAACATACTATAGTAATTATGGGAACGTTTTTAAGCTACATTTGAGACCCCTGGAGCCGTCCGGTCCCATGGTGTAATGGTTAGCACTCTGGACTCTGAATCCAGCGATCCGAGTTCAAATCTCGGTGGGACCTGATTAATTTTTTTCTTTCTTTTTATGTTTTCTTTTCTTTTAAATAATATTGTGAGTGATGGTTTATTGCACCGATTCTAAAAAAAACTTTCCCTGTAGTTTTTGTTTTGTTGTTAGGGTGAAGCAAGTTGCATGCGACCACACCAATCTGTCCTCGACGGAAATGAATTTGTAATTTGTCAGTGCTAAACATAAACATATGGCATATTTCTACTCACTGTTCTTTTTATCAGTATAGATGAGTCATATGCCCTAATTTGATAAGAAAGAATGTTTACATGCAAACGTAAGTTATTATTTATTATTTTCAAGTTGTCGAGCTTTCAAAAGCTTTCACCCTCCATTCTTTGTAGCCGGTAATAGTTTCCTCGCTGGCGTAAAAATATATGCAATTAACAGTTTTTATTTTAAAATGAGTACGGGTGATCTGCCCGCAGTCACCTTATGACAAACCTAGTCGTAGCCAAGTACCAACAGCAGCTGTTTCCAAGTTGTCAAGTTTGCTCAAAGTCAAGCTTTTATGTCCGATGGGATACCTTGGGCGAGTCACGTAGGTGCGAAAGCTAACATATCAGTTTTTTTTTATCAAGAAAGCTTGATATAATAAACAAAACCTTAAAAAATAAGTGAAAAAACAATAGATTAAACAACGACACCAGAAACATTACGGTATCGCGGCCGCCGAAGACGCCGAACGCCGCGCTTGATATAGCTCTTTCAGCTTGTTAGCAGAAACTGCGCGACCTGTCCCGCCATCTATGTGCGGCGGCGTGAACTCTCCATCCGTCGAGAGCGGAGAATCCGGTAATATTGCGGTGGCGAAATCGAAGACGCGCTGACGAGTAGTTTTGCTAAACATTATACAAAAACAACAAATACAAAGCAGGTTTCTGTCTTGCGATAGCATCAGACTTTCGATGCGTGCGGATTTATGTTTGAAACTCAGTTTTACGTTGATGTCTTGTTTTCTGTTGAATGGAAAGCCTGACGCGTTCTCGCCGTCTGCCTGGAATGATTAATGGCAACACACACAAAAAAAAGCACACACACAGACACACAAAAAAAAAAAAGAAAAAAGAAAAAAAGAAACGTTTACTCGTGGAAAGAAAAGAAGAAATTAAGGTTCTTGGGGCTTGAGGGTGACCAGAACTTTGCTTTGATATCCTACAGTCGGTAATAGCTAAAAAAAGCGCAGTGTCTTTTTTCTCCTTTGCGTGCTCAGTGCACTTCTATTGAGCATGCTATCCATGTTTCCCCGATGATGCGGAACTTTATCGAGAAAACAAAGTAGTACCGATTTCAACGTTTGAAAATAGGTTTTTAGTGCCTTTCAACCTCATTCGTCACGAATGAGGTTGATTTTTTTTTATCTTCGACACTAATTAACCAAATAAATATAGTAATATTTACTTAAATCAATACAGTATGGTGATAATGGCAGGCATACATTGCGATGATTACTCATTAATTCACTTATTCATTTATTTTCAGTGCCCACTAACAACCTGACGCGGTTTGGTGTTTGTTCATTTCTAACAATCAGTCAGATTCAAAAGCTCGAAGGATATCGTTATAAAGACTCCCAGTTTCTGGGGGTTTATTTTTCGCCGAACTTTCGTCATTATGAATACCAGCTCGTTTTATAGGGATTAAATAGCGGTTTATTAATATCGACACCGAACGGTTGAAACGCCAGTGCCTGAACTTGGTGAAAAGAAAAGATGCACAGAAACCAGTAAACAAAGTCAGCAGTAAAAATTAAATGCGTACTACTCTTGTCTGGTTCTTGATCGCATATGCCGAAAGGGAAGCTGACTTGAAAGAGCGGGAGGAATCATATGTTCGTCTTTTTATATTTAGGCTGGGTGACGCAAGCTACCGCCCTTTACAAAGGGTGTAGGCATTAAGATCCATCTATCCAAGAGGTTCTTGAGAAAAACAAAAATCCCAAACATATCAATACGCGCAAAAAACATTTCTTCGAAAAAGAAAAAAAAAAAGAAAAGAAACTCAGGGTGTGACGTTATTCAGAGATCCTAGGTAAGAGCTTCCTACAAGTAGCGAGATTCTTTCACACCGCATAGGTTTGAACAGAATGACGCCATTCTGTTCCAGTGGAGTGTGCTTTGTCATTTGTGTTGGTTGTCGTTACTTGTGAGAAAAAGGGTCAAGGGACATTAATACCTAGAGGTTTCAGCTGCCTGCGCGTGTCGCTTGTGAGGCAACGTGTGCAGCGCACTTGACTGCTCGGGTAAGGTTTGCGTTCATATTAAAAATAGCGCAAAAGAGACGGGACAAAAGGACGATGAAGCACACAGGACAAACGCTAACTGGCAACTAAACTTTATTGAAAGCTTCCAACTTTGCTATCGCCATGCACGCGCTTACTCTCGTGAATGTCCACTACCAACTTGCCCAGCAGACCAAGCTTTTACAAGGTTTGCGGAAGGCGCGGAAATGTTAAACACTCTGCATAATCGGTTTCGGTGCTATTTTTAAAGCGCTGTTGTGGCGACTCGAAGCATCGATCTGAAATGTAGTCGTAATTCTGGAGCCAAAATACAGACGATTTAGGTTGATGTTTTTTTTTACAGCGGAACCGTTAAGGGCTAGTGTAGGGATCGCTTGATGATTTGATCGTTTTCTGGAAACTGATGTAATCGACCTTCAACCGTTCGGATGGGGGCACCCCGACGGCTCGCCCCGAGGATAGGGGGATGAGCGGCTTGAGCCCTTTTTAATCTTTGGCCCGGGAAGGAGACAGACATTCTTGCCTGTCGCCGCGACGTAGTGGCACCCTCCCCGGCTTTGTCGTCACGGCGCGTTCCCAGTGACGGCTTGTCCAGTCGGAAGACTGCTACAGTGAGGTTTTAGCGATGAGAGGCGCCGGACTGGGTCCTCTTGGACTCGTTTACGCTTAACTCGCTAACTTCGAAAGCCACGGCGCCAATTTGTTTTGACGCGGCGAAGTGAGGGGTGTTTTCCCGTAAAGTAGTAAAGTATCGCCCCGATTTGGGGGGGGGGGGGGGGGGGGGGGGGGGGGGAGGGAGAGAGAGTTTCCCAAGGGGTTTAGCAATGTTTCTCTTCTTAGAAAAAAGAGATAACGAGTTCCGGTGGCCTCTCTTTGATTGGTGGAGGACCCGCTGGCACTGGGGCCAAGAGAATTGTATAATCGTCCTGATTAGACAGGCCCTGTGTCAGCGGTGAGCTTTCTCGACCGCGCTGGCGAGAAAACGTTGAGTTTGAACAAGCCCATGCGCGGAGCAAGGTATCTCCCGCGGTCTCCGCGTAGCTTTGTCGCGAGCGACGAGCAGTTTCTTTGAGCCTCACCGTGCGCGGTGGGCACTTTGCGCCGAGGCGCGTTTTTCGCCTTTCTACTGCCGTGAGCGGACAGTAGAGTCCTGTAACCAAGTTTGCCGTTGTCGTTTCAATATATTTGTTTTCATCGATCGTTGCTCTCGACTTTGAGCGTCTTTCCTCGAGGCTCCGCCACCACCAACAAGCACCGAAGCGACCAACCTGCGCGGCAGTCCACGATCGCCCTGCCCTGCCCTACGACTTCTAGGAAGGACCGGGACAAAACAACCTGACCCTCAGGGAAGGGAATTCTTTACTGGCTAGTTTCCGCAGGATCGTGTCCCCCCAAAGAAATGAAGACACCGAACTTTGGACACCTGCCGCCATCTGTGAGCGACGTAGTCAAGCCACGTATCTGGTTGCCGCCGTCGCTCATAGATGGCGGCAGCCTTTACACTCCGGCTTGCCGACTTGCGACCGGCCATTACTTTCCATTGTACAGCTCCGTTGGTCTTCCTTCTTCACGAGAGTGGAAAGGCTGAAAGTTTTGTTTCTTTACCCTAGAGGATGCCACGACCCTTACATGAAGCAGTTTTACTTTTCTAAAATACAGAACCGTTTCAGTTTCCCTTTAAAGAGACAACGCTACCAAGAATCAACATCAATACCAAATCCGCAATACAGATGTTAACCCCCCCCCCCCCCCCCCCCCCCCAATGGCGAGCAATAGAAATAAAATAAGCTTCGAATAGGGAGACTGTCCGGTGGCTATTAGTTTTCAGTGGTCTTGCAGTATTTCGCAGAAATTTTACCGTTGCCCTCGGCCCGGTGAGTACACCCCACTCTTATTAAAGGGACCATGCAATTACCTTTTTACTTTGGCCAAATAACTTTTTCATTACACCTTCAATGTTCAGTGAACGCCGAACAGGCATCCATTTTCGTTTCGTTTTATTCACTTCTACTCGAGAAATTACTGAAATATCGAGTTTTTCTTCCTCTCCGACTCGCCGCGAAACAAGCGGCGGCCAGGGGTTTCTTCAGGAATTGAAATTAGGGGGGGTGTCCAAATTTTAGGGGGGGGGGGGGGGGTATTGAGAATAAACGAGCCGTTGCAAGTGAAGGGGGTAGCTTAAAAAAAAAAAAAAAAAAAAAAAAAACAAACAAGGGGGTGTACATCATTCCTAGGGGGTGTGTAGGGAAATCACTGGCGGCGGCGTAATTTTGTCGGTCGTGACGTACTACGGCACCGGACAGTAG